ATCTTTAATTTCTAAAATGTGATTTTTTTGTTGTTGAAATTTTTGTTTCACAAATAAAAATGCATACGTATAAATTGCATTTGAAACAATCCATGACTTACTTTTGTTAATTTTGTTTCCTGTTTAGGTGTTGTCTTGGATTCAGGAGATGGTGCGAGCCACACGGTTCCAATCATTGAAGGTTACTTAAACCCACACGGGATCGAACGTTACGACCTAGCAGGCCGTCACCTAACCGACTACCTCATGGAAATCATGACCGAGCGTGGCTACACATACACCACACCATCCGAACGAGAGATAGTCCGAGACATCAAAGAGAAACTATGTTACGTAACTCTAGACTACGAGCAAGAACTGAAGAAGGCAACCGCGAGCTCGGAAATCGATAAAACCTACGAGCTTCCTGATGGTCAAGTGATCAAGTTAGGAGCCGAGAGATTTAGGTGCCCTGAGGTTCTTTTCAAGCCTTCTTTGGTCGGGATTGAAACTTGTGGTATTCACGAGGCGATTAACAAGTCGATCTTGAAGTGTAATTTTGATTCAAGGAAGGATTTGTATGGAAACATTATTATGAGTGGCGGTACGACGATGTTCCCTGGATTGGCACAGAGGTTAACCAAAGAGATCGCTGGGCTTGCACAGGCTTGTATGAAGATTAAAGTTGCGACTCCTAAGGGGAAGTGTGGTTCTTGGTACGGAGGCTCTATTTTGGCTTCTTTAAGCACATTTCAACAGGTAAACAAGATATATATAATTAATATGGCTTTTAAGTTTAATTAATGTGAGTTTTTTTGGGGGGCTGTTATAATGTAAAGTTGTGATGTCTATATTGCAGATGTGGATAAGTAAGGAAGAATATGAAGAAAGTGGAGCGACGATTGTTCATCGCAAATGCTTCTAAGTTTGTTAGTATATATATAAAATTAAGATCCGTTCTGGTGATCATGTGTTCTTTGTGCTTTCTTCATTAGGGCTTTATTTTGGTGAAATAAATTGTTTAAGAGATTCATATATCTGATTTGATTTCTTTGTTTTTATAACATAATGTTGGTGTAAGAACAATAATGCTTAATGGGTCAAAGGGTTTCCTTCGTTGTTGTTGTTGCTCTTCATGGAAAAACCTATCGAATTTTTTTATTTGCATAATAAGAAAGATAATTAAGTGAACAATGATGAAAAGATGAGCACGAATAAACTCATTAAACAGACAAAACATGTATCACTTATTTTTTTTGCTCAACAACTTTACATAAACCAAATTTACATAAAAAAAAACTTTACATAAACCAAATCAGACAAGTCAATTACATATATATATGCAACCAATTTCAAAATAACAATTAATATATCAGATTTTTTTGTTCGTATACCTCAAGTGTTTTGGTAAAGTTTGTACCTCAAGTTCATCGTCTCAGACCACCAAAACCGTCATTTACAATCTTAGATCGATCGTCCGTCTCCAAACATATAACCACCATCTTCAAGTTAAATTCTATATTCACTTTTCTTTTCATTGTTACCAATTCGCCTAGTCTTATTTTAGAGAAAAACAAAACAAAAATAAAGAATCGTCGTAAGAAACTGAACAAAATAATGATTGGAGAAAAGTACGAGAGATGAAAGTGCATGAATTTTATATTTTTAGCATTATCACAAATGGAGAAAAATTATGTCATTTTATTTTACTATTTGAAAATTTTCAAAATTACAACTATACAATTTTTTTTTATGTACTTGAATACGTTTGGATTTTATGGTATTTAAAGTAATAATTCTATTTATTAATCTAAAGATACTTATATTGGTTTGGTACAAACATGCATGGAATTTAATGTAAGAGTTAAAATAAAATTTAGGGGTACTATGCTTAATTATTAAGTACTATGAATTACCCTTCTTGAGGCTCTGACACATGT